GGCCCTCTAACAGGAACCTGAAATGACGTGTAGAGAGGAAAAGGGCTAAGAGTTCCTTGTCGAATGTGCTATATTTCCTCTCCGAGTCCCGCAACTTCTTGCTGAAAAAGGCCCAGGGTTGCCAGGCCCCATCCACCCACTGCTCACAAACTGCTCCCACTGCGTAATCGGACGCAACAGTGGTCAAGGAGATGGGCGCAGCAGGGTTGGGGTGTGCTAACAAGGCTGCGTTAGCCAGCGCTGTCTTAGCGTCATCAAAAGCCTGCAATCTCTCAGAGGTCCACTCTACGTCCTGATTCCCTTTCTTGCCTTTCAATGCTTCGTAAAGAGGGTGCATAATGTGGGCAGCTCGCAGAATGAAACGGTTGTAAAAGTTAACCATGCCCAAAAACTCCTGCAAGGGCTTCACAGAAGAGGGGCGAAGGAACGCAGAAACCGCTTCGACCTTTGCAGGGAGTGGCACAGCACCCTGCCGCGACATGCAGTGCCCCAGGAACTCGATCTCTGAAAGTCTAAACCGGCATGTAGCGGGGTTCACAATTAGTCCATGTTCACTGAGGCGCACAAAAAGCTGGCGAAGGTGTAACATGTGTTCCTCCACCGAAGCGCTTGCTACCAGTATGTCATCCAGGTACACGAACAGGAAGGGCATGTCCCACAACACAGAGTCCATGAGCCGCTGAAAAGTCTGCGCTGCACCCTTCAGGCCAAACGGCATCCTCAAAAACTCAAAAAGCCCAAAAGGAGTGATCACTACCGTTTTAGGGATGTCCCGAGGCTGCACCGGCACCTGGTGGTAGCCCCTCACCAAATCCACCTTGGAGAAAACGGCCGCCCCCGCCAGATGCACAGAAAAATCTTGGATGTGGGGCACCGGGTACCTGTCATTAGTCGTGGCATTGTTGAGGCGCCGGAAATCCCCACAAGGGCGCCAACCCCCATCTGGCTTTGGACCCATGTGCAGGGGTGAAGCCCATGGGCTGTCAGAACGGCGCACAATGCCCAGCCGCTCCATGTTGGCGAACTCCTTTTTAGCAATGCCCAACTTCGCTGCATCTAAACGGCGCGCACGTGCAAAAACTGGTGGGCCTACGGTTGTAATGTAATGTTCCACCCCGTGCTTAGCCACCGCCGCAGAAAATGTGGGAACGGTGAGAGCAGGAAACTCAGCGAGAAGACGTTGATACGCGTCCCCAGTGGCGAGCATGTTAGCAAGAAGTGGCCTCGCTTTTCCCAGAGTACATGGGTAGCAATCAAAAGACACAGCATCAATCAAACACCTGTTTGCCACATCTAACAACAGCCTGTATGCACATAAAAAATCTGCCCCCAGAATTGGAACTGCAACAGAAGCAACTACAAAATCCCAGTTGAACTCACGTCCAAGGCTCCGGGTCGTGCTGCCAGAAGTCCGGGAGTTTAACTGTAGCCGCGAAAACAACCGGTGCGGTCACGGCAGCAGCGGCAGATGAAGCACTCTCTACCGACATGCTGCAAACGTCAGGGTCACCAATGTGGAAGTCGATAAAAAGGGAGACGAGAGTTGAGCTTGAGTCTCTGTTCCTTTATTGGACTCCATTTACAGCACAAACTCACCCACAGTGCAAAGCCTTTTATAGCACATCCGCTTTCCCACGACCCGGAAAACCTTAAAAAATACCTTCAAAACCTTCAAAATAACAGTGTCCTTTGTGTGTGAGACCCAGAGAATTCGTGTACACCACACGGCTGTCTTTTTGATCAAATGTGTGTCGCTGAAGTTTGTGCCGGAGGAATCCAGCATTTGCTATCATAAGATATTTGGCACTTAGATTTGAAATCAATCTTATGTTCTTAAATTTTGTTGCAATTCTAATACAGATCATTTCTAACTTTTCTGATTTTAAGGAGAAACTGTTTTTTGGTTGTTGTTTTTTTTTTTTTTACTTGCTTGTACTGCTGACAACTACTGTGTTGCACATTTAGTTTTAATTGCTCAGAAACATTCTGTTCGCAGTATACTTTTCCATTTTATGGGTGAGCTAATCAGAGACTAGATTTTTTACATTGTTCATTTGCACTTAAAAATTCGACACTGTGATTTTGTTCTTCTATGTTCTCTAATAAAGAAAAAAAAAAGATTTTTAAATATGTTGTTCGAATTGTTTTTCTCATAATGCAGGAAATAGCTGGACATCTAAATCAGAACAAATAAAATCAGCTTTAAAATGTTGTATTCTAGTAATGTTATTGAACAAATACCTGTAGTGGTTCATTTGATTCCAGGGAGTGATATTCTCAGGAAACAACAAAGGAACAAGATTCAGGCTAAAGAGAAGAAGATAAAATACATATTTAAAATAAAATGTAGGACAAAAACTAAAACAAATTCTAAAAAACCTGTTGCAAACCTTACAATAGCAAGTGCATCCACACACAAAAAAATCCCTCCTCTGACCTTTATTTTGTTTTTACCACACCTGAGCAATGCTACACTTTGTATAAATAATCACTATATGATACTATACTCCTGGAAATGTGTATATTGTGAGACTTTATATTAACCCATATGTTTTACATACAACAAAAATTTTAAAAAAAATAATAATTTTTGTTATTCCAGGTGACTTCTAGGCAAAGGCATTTTACTCTGACTTGGGGCCTCTGAAGTTCTTTTTTTTTTCCCCCAAATCCCTGATCTCCTCAGTATTGGTGAAGCATTGATAAAGCTTTATTAAAGTTTTTAATTACAGCAAAGAAGCCTTTTATGAATGTTGCGTGATTTAGTGCCACCTATTTTGACAGGTGTGTCTCATATAATCACTGAAAACCAAGCAATTAATCTACATGTTGTTTTAAATAAAGTTTTATTGATTAATTTGAAAATGCCCCCCTAGTGTTCAACAGTCGCCATAGCAGCAGCAGGCTGTCGCCATAACAACGTAGGGACTGTCCCAAAAGAGCGCATAAAGGTCAATACGAAAAAGGAACCAAACACATTTACTGAGGACAAAATAAATCACGGTAATTATCTAGACTGGCTCCTTTTCGTTTTACTGTTGGTACAGATAACCATGGTTGATATTTTGAGCCTAGCTTACTGTAAAAGCCTTAAACTTACCGTCCGTTTTTTCCCGCCGACAGCACTTTACAGTCTGCCCCTGAAGTCATTGTTGCGGAAGTGAGAAGTCTACGTGGGGAAGAAAGGTTGGTCTGACCGTGTTTGACTACCTTACACACCAGCGGCACCAATGTCCAATCCAGGTTAGCTCCGACCCCCGTCGAACCAAGTCTTCCTCCCCCCCACCCCCCGTTAGGCAAATGGACGCGTTGAGCGGCAACCGGAGCGTATAAATGGGACGGAGAGCCGACGACAGGCGGTAATGCTGCGCCGGGTGCGGCAGTCTCTCCGGCAGGTGCTGTTTCTGATGGCCCGGAGACCGGACCTTCTCTGCGGGGCTATCGTGCTCGGCGTCCTGCTCATACTGGCTGTCAAGTTCACATGCAGGTAAACAAGACCGGCTGTGAGGGCAGGCTAACGTGAAACTCACGATGGGGTCAGTTGTAGCGTTATGAGGTCGTAAATGAGCTGCTGCTTGTTTTATACAGTAGTTACAAACAAGGTTTTCATTATGTTGTGCAGCTGATGTGGAACTGACGTGTACTGTAGGACAAGAGGATTACCAGTAAACCAGTCACACAGGCAAGGTTCAACCAGTTGTGTTTCTGTCATTCCTTTAACTTGGCTTCTTTGTTGACAGTGAAGACAACAGCACAACAATCAGTGCTGAAAAAATTAGGCAACTGACAGTAAAGCAGCTACTTAGACAACCCATCAATCGTTTTTTAAACAAAAAGAAGCCAAATCGTCCTTAGTTCAGCTTCTCATTTGCTAGAATTTTCTGCTTTTCTTTGTCTTATGCCATAGCAATTTGATTATCTTTGATTCTGGAAGAAAAAAAAAACTAAGCAATTTGATTTCATTGTTTTAACTTGTCGTAAAATGTTTTGTGCGTTTTCCCAGCCTTCTGACATTTTCTCAAACAAACAATTAACAGACTGATGGAGATCATGATCAGCAGATGTTTTGATGATGAAAGTAATCTCAGTTGCAATCCTTATAAAATCATACCGCTGTCAACATTTTTCAGCAATGAAGCCACATCCTGCGTCTTGTAGGAAGATCAATTAGTTGTCAGTGTCAAACAAAACTACTGTATTAATCATGGTCTGAGGTTCTCAGATAGTTGAACTGTGCTTGATCTGTTAATGGACCCTTTGACTCGGTGACTCATCTTTCAGTGAACCCAGGTGAAGAGAGATTACGACCAGAAACATTGAAACTTGACGCAAATTGCAGTCAAATGATCTCGGGCTCATCCTCCTTCTCATTCTGTTTTGACACTGTGGTCATTTTGCTCCTGCTCTAACAACCCCAGAGTGACAGACACATTTCTAGATAGATAGACACATTTCTGTTCAGCCGATTCGGGAAAGGACAAAATGCATAAAATCGCTGTGTACAGTAGATCCCTCTATATTGGGATCAGTGGGTGCACAGATCTACAGATCACAGTATCTGTCAAATACTAATCCAATACCACTACTCTCATTTTTGGAAATCTAGCTGTACGATATCCTACAAGAAATAATATTGTGATTATTTTTGACAAATATTACGATATCGGCCGTATTGGTAATTTTTTGCATTTCTTTACCTGGAAAACAAAAATTAAGAATGTTTTTTTTTTTAACTGTACCTTGTACCAAACAAACATGTCGCCTCATGTCTGGAGAGTATCATTAGTAGCATTAGGACAACTTTACTGTCACACAGTGTAATCTGTCATCTCTAACACCCGCTGTCGTTATTCATTTCTCTTCAGTCGTGCTAAGAATGTGGTGGTACCAGCTCGGCCTCCGGTGCGGTTCTTTTCTGCCGATGCCCCAGTCGTGGACCTTTACTTGGGTCAGCTAGACCAGGTGAGATTCAAGCACACGGGGATGTGATGTGTAGCAGTTGCTCTGAAATTTCCATTTTAAAATCTGCACGATAAATGGATTTGATTATAGTAAGAGAAGCAATGTGAGGAGAATATGGAGCACATAAAGCTTCAGTTTGTACTAGACCACAACCTGATGCAGTTAAATGGGATGCATGGACCACCTCACTGCTTGCAGATGTTTTGGTATACTGAATTGTAACATTTCTGGAGCTCTGTGACTCATGTAGTTTGTCAAAGCACTGGTTAAGTCCGTTGCATTAATAGCGTTAACATTTTCTCTGCAGGTGGAGCGTCTCAGGAGCGTGGCCGAAGTGTCTCTTATTTTCTTCTATGCACCGTGGTGTGCTCACTCTATGGCCGCCAGGCAAGAGGTGCAGCAGGTGGCTAAGAAGCTGGCCAAACAGGTACAAGACAAGCAGAGACACAACAACCACCTCTCCGTAGGGTTGTTTGAATACCAAATAGCAACATTAACTGAACCCTGTCAGACAACCGCTAAGGAGGCATCAGAGAACCACGGCTTGTTCTTCCATGGACACATTAAACATTTAGAAGAGTAAATATTGCTCCTGGGACTCTGTAAACTAGCTTGTTATCTAAAGTACCTCACATTAAAGTGCTAAGAGTGATATTTGTGGCCTTCAGTAAAGAGCTTCTGTGTTACTGTGAACTATTTAGAACTCTATTAGAATAACAAAATCACATCAACCCTTCAATACACAGTAAAAACAAACAAACTAGAATGAGTCTGACAGCAGCGCTGTTAGATTCACACATACAAATTTCTGGCCCTGCTTTGCTTAGTAAATGAGACAGAGTAAAGTCTGATCTCACACATGACTGAGAACACCACATACCCTGCCTGCGGTCGAGAAATAGTTTTGTTTGTTCAGCTCTGGTTCTTTCTGTATCTCTGAAACACACAAACACAGGTGCAGTTTGTGGCTGTTAACTGCTGGTGGAGTCAGGGGAAATGCAGGAGGTTGAACCGCTTCTATCAGTACCCCATCATCCATCTGTTTTATATGAGGTAAGGTGCAGAGGCGTGCCCTCACTTCTGGTTTGTAATGCTCCTTTCAGAGTGATTTGTTTTCAACAGCGTTAGTGGATAGGGAAGAGGTGAAGAGGAGGACTGTGACAGACAGTGGCGGCTGGTGGTGGAAGCAGAGCATGAAGCATAAAATTGTAAACCTGAGAAAACTAGAGGGCTCTTTGGCATGCTCTCTTCAAGGAAAATTTAGCAAAATAAGCCCTTAAATTGTGCCTACTGGGGAATATTAAGTAGAGAAATGCACAAGGAAGAAGCTGTCCTTCAGTGCTTTCAGGCAGAATGGGTTTCTTTATGTTAATGTTATGGAAGGATCTATTTTTAACAAAAACATTATCTTTTCCTAAGCCTGACTAAATAGTTTTCTTAAAAATAACTGCAACGAAAACTGAAAATAAATCAGAAAAAACTAATAAGTCAACTGGGTCAATCATTGACTTCTGACTTTAGACAGGACTCAAAATCTCAAATCCCCAAAATGTTGCTTGTACTATATGATGAAAGCATTTTGAACTTGAGTTGTGAGTCTGTTTTCTATCCAACTAACCAGCTGGCTGCCACCTTTGTTTTCATTTGGAAACAGACAAGTTTGAAGTCTCTGTTCAGTGGAAGTAGAAGTCAGGATAGTTAGATGAGTCGCCTGTCAGATCATTATTTAAGCATTTCTACGCACATGTATGCATTCAGGGCAGCTTTGACTACTGAAAGTATGTTCCCACTTGCATGTGCTCATTGAAAAGGTGCAAGAGAGCTGAAAGTGTCTCCTAATTGATCCACTATGTCTGTGTTTTCTGCAGGTTTGGGCCAATAGAGTACAAAGGTCCGTTTGTGGCTCCATATGTGGAAAGTTTCATCCTGAGAGTCATCACACCGCTGACTTACCTCCCATCAAGAGCGCAGCTGGAGGAGTTTCTCTCTTATCACGAGGTATCGTTTAGCTTTGTATATCTGATGAAGACCTAGCAGAGAAACACCCACTAAGTTACTTACTGCGTGTGCTGGTTGAATATGTCGTCCAGCGAGCTTACGATGAGCAGTTTGCTGTTTGAGCTCTCTTTTAGAAATACACTGAATTCCTTTATGTCTGGGTTGAACTGTGGTACATTCGCCGTGTCTTTATTTAGCTGCTGTCTTTTGCTGTAGTTGTATTTACAAAAGTTGTAACTGGTTGTCTCTTGTGTGTTTCTAGTCTCGAGTCGTGGGTTTCTTCCAGTTTAACTCCTCTCCTCAGCCTCCGGGGTACATCACATATCTGGCCTCTGCCCTGCAGGCCCTGAAAAGGGGTAAGAAGTGATCATACTGGTGTGAGGATAGTAGTTTTGACTCTGTGGACATTTTGATCAGGTCAGGTGTGAAAGGCATGGTGAAAATTTGTGGGAAGGTTTGACTGTTGGGACAGAAATGAGAGTGTATAATATTGGAACAACACATACCGTGATTTTCGGACTATTGAGCGCACCTGAATATAAGCCGCACCCACTAACTTTAAAAAGAAAACAAAATGTGCACATTTAGAGGCCGCACTTGTCTATAAGCTGCAGGTGTCTGCATTGTAACATGACATATTTACACAGAAAGATTTTTTTAACTTTTAATTAAATACGTACCGGTAACCTACACAAATACGTACCGTAAATGCTTTTTTCTTGTAACACGGCTGGTTAAAAAAATAAAAAATACAGTAGCCTACCAGGAAAAGTCATCGATCGCTATCTTTATCTTCCTCCTGCACTAAAACCACTGAAGTCGTCTTCTTCAGTGTCAGGATTGAACAGCCTAAAAATGACTTGGTCACACACTTCCTCAGTCTCTCTTTCGTTGTCGCTCTCATTGTCACTTTCGTCTCGATGCAAATTCATAAAAATCCATAAATTCATCGCATCATTGTTTAAGCTGCAGTGTTCAAAGCGTGTGAAAAAAGTAGCAGCTTATAGTCCGGAAATCACGGTAGACATGTGATATGTAAAGTTACTATGTGTTTGCTGATCAGTTTTTTAAATGTACTGCAGTTGAGGATTGAGAGGGTAGAATGTTTTCAGTCTTTAGTCCTGAGTTTCTCTGTTTTTATGGTACAGATTTCCGTGGTGTAGTACGTTTTGGGGTTGTGACCAACAAGCAGGTGGCAGAGGCCATCCCACTGAGAGAAGATGAAACCATTTACCTCCACAGAAGATTTAACTCCTCTTTGGTAAGCAGTGGCACCAGGCCACGACAGAGATGAAAAAAAATGTAATTAGCTGCTGAATGCATTTTGTTATAATTATGGATGCATACTAAGCCCTTGCACCTGTGCTGTATGGTGTTCTTTGGTTTTGTTTTGGGGTCAGATATTCCCTAGAAGAGAACGTAACTTCACATCAGGCGCCATCTGTAGTTGGGTGTTTGAAAACCACGAGACCGTCCTCCAGTGGCTGCAGCCTCCAGGAACAAAGTCCCGCCTGCTGGAACAGGAGCTGACTAAAGGCCCTGCACTGCTGCTGTTCCTGCCACACAATCCACTGGGCTCCAAGCCCAGCGCCCTACTACAGCAGGTGAGCAGTGATAGGGGAGTCACATTACTACAACCTCAGATAACAAGCTTGAGAAGAGAAAGTTTTTAGAGTGGGATTTTTTTTTCTTTTTTTTTTCACCTAAAATCATATTTAAATTAGATGAGTCGTTAGTGCTTCCCCTGCCACAGTGGGGTACGTTTGGGTCTTTTGTTGCCAGGTGTGAATGTGGTTTCATCTTCCTGGAGAGAGATCTCATAACTCATAACGAGGGGGAGGAGCAACAAACCCCCAACTGAAACCGAAACTCAGGTGTTAATGGCTCCATAAGGATATAAGTATCTGGAACTCCCAACTAGTCAGTCAGAACTGATGAAGCCTCTTGGATGAGAGGTGGAACGTCCTCAAGGAACTCAAGCACGTCCAGTTGCTACGATTAATCCATGAGAATAACCATGACCTGGACGACTGAGAATCTTCACAGACGTCTTTCAAGTGGTCTAGTGTACAATCTAGCTCTAACAACATGTTGTGGATTTTTCCGTTGTCTTTTTCGATTGCCGGCGGTTCAAAATGCAAGGGACGCGTGACTGCTTCATCCTAATTGTAGCCTTCGCTTACTGGCTAGAAGTTCATTTCAGAAAATAATATCAGATTTTATTAAACCTAGACGGTGGAACTTTTTTTTTTCTCCTTCTACTGGCTGTAGTGGATTGACATCAACACTGTCAGGAATTTTGCTCCTAGTTGCTGCTGACACTACCTGATGTGGAGCCACAGCTGTAGCCTGCTCTGTCTTAGTTGCTGTGTTTGCTCCTCTCTCCAGCCCCGACGAGCCAGTCATGGCTGGTTGGTGTAAAATGCAGCACAACCAGCGTGTCAGCCTAAAACTCCAGATTAAAACGTCAGTATACTGCGAAATATAGAGATTTTCCCGTTGCCAGTAGGCTCAATCAGTGTTGTGTGAACTCATTGTATTGATTTATATTTAAAAGTCCCGCACTGCAGCAGTGCATTCAAGAATAAATCAGATCTAGCCCTCAAATACATCTGTGAATTGCTGATGCTTTATGAGCTAGACTGCATCCTGAAGTTTTTCATGAACCAGTTTCCTTAAGTGTGAAAGAATTACTGCTCAACTTTGAAATTCCTCGCTGCAGGAGCTCGTAGTTTTTCAAGTCCCTTCTGTAGACATATGTCCTCTGAAAGACATTCTTCCAGTTTCCTGCCTGCGAATAGGCACTGTCCCTTCTATTCTGATTTTCTAATACATTTTTTTGCTTATGTCCTCGCATTAGTATAATTCAGTTTGACCTTTGTTTTTTTCTTGTCTTGTGAGGCGTTATGCAACTCCACTAATTTCTACACAAAGAACATTATCATTATTTTTCTGCCTTTTTTTGTCTCTTTCAGGTTGCAGACATTGCTGTGCGTTATCATTCCTGCGACAACAGTAACCACTCGACCTTGGATGGGTTCACTTCCCACTCACTGTGCTGCCAGTCAGTCGCTCTCCCCGAGTCCAGTACCAGTGTGTGCGAGGTGTGCCTCAGCTCATCGTGGCCCAGCCTCACCGCCTCGCCTCTTCGCTGCTCGTTCCCTTCCACCGCTCAGGGAGGGGACGTGTTTCAGAGTTATCTCAGACACTGCTGCCTCCACCGACTACTTTCCCCCATCTCCATCAATACTGCAACCTCAATGGGCTGTAGCAACTTTCTGAACAGCTACAGCCCGTTTAGTCAATACAGTGCCTGCTGCAGAAAAGTAGAACCTCAACTCAATGAGTCACAAGCCAAAGAGGAGCCAGAGATGCAACGAGTTCCCCTCACGCCTCCTTCTACCCCGATCCCTCCGTCCTCTGCCCCTGAGCAGGAGGGAGACGGCATCACAGGACTCCGGTGTCAGACCAACAGGACACTCAGGTTTTACGTGCTGGACGTTGCTCTGAACTGGCCTCTGGCTGTGAGGCTCGGAGCATCCGTCAACACAAGTGCTTCTCTTCACCAGGAGGCTGGTGCACAGCTCGATGGAAGCGGTGACGGGTCATTTGCAGCTATTGTGAACCTGAAGGATGAGGTTCATTATGTTCTTCACCGCAGCCCAGCAGCCACACTGACAGAGTCTCTGGGTAAGACGAGGACAGAATTTCATTCACATCGCATGCTGAGTTGTGTTTGTTACTCTTATGACTGAAGTCATCAGCAAAGTGCTCTAATTTGTCTGGGACAGTTTTGTTTTTTCCAATTATTCTTTTCAACCACAATTCAAAAGCAATATCTTATTTCACTAAATTATAATTTAACAAATTTTTAGTTATTTTTACTTTTTTCAGTTTCTAGTTATTTGAAGGACATTTGTTAATATTTCCTTTTCTTTAATGGAAGAGTATGAATACATTTGAGGACGACTATAAGTGTCGACCATTAATCTTTAATGATTTGGCCAATTTGTTAAAATCCTCTGATTCCAGCCACCTAAATCACAATATATCCTGCTTTCTCTACTCCTCTATGACAATAGACTAAATATCTTTGGCTTGTGGACAGAACAAGACATTCGAGGATGTCATTTTTGACTTTGGGAAACACTGGCTGGCATTTTTCTCCA